TTTAGGCATTTTCTTTGATCATATTATCAATTACGATAAGATAGGAATACAATTACCGGGTTTTATTAATAAACAAAGATCAAACTTTTCAAAAAACTTAACGAATTATTATATTCAATCATTTGATTATTATTGTATGTGAAATCTATTTCCGAAATCTTCAGAATTGTCCAATATCTATCGTACAAGTATATTTCTAATATTTTACCTTTCCTTTATAATATGATATCAAATTACTTAATGCCTTTTAACTCTATTTCATTTAATATCAAATTCTCTTTTTTAGCTTATCAAGGGAACAAATCTATGCAATATGCATATGATGAAACTGGTGCATTTTTTGTCTTATATAATAGAGAGACACGGTGTTATATGATGAATATCAATATGTCTATACCTGTATGCGCGCTTCAGGTAAACCAATCTTTGTAGCCAATCTTTCACGAGCAAAAACATCCGGGTAATGTGTCCTCTCGAATTCTGAAAAATGTTGCGTTATGATAAAAGGAAGAATTGGAAAAAAGCTGAAGAAATTTGAAACATTTATAGAACAAAACTAGAATTTGGAGAATTACGAAGTAGCATTTAAAATATTCGAAATAATTCAGATGATATGGATAACAATCAGTTTTGGCATGCAACCTTATTTAAAAATAATTGCTGTTTAACTTTTTCAGTTCTTGCTAATTACTTTTTGCACTTTTGAAAGAAGTATCAATTTTTATGTTTTCAGTAAAATCATAATGAAAACGAGATGCAGAAAAACCTTTTTCTAAAGCTTCAATTTGTTCTTGACTGAAAGAAGTACGATTCCGCTGCAATTTACGTTTCAGCCGCATTCTTGCGGCAGCGTCTTCGTCTGGATCATTAGGTGGCTTCTGATCCTCATCTGCAATAACTCATATGCTTCAATAATGCTTGGAAATTTGTGTAATGCTAATTTGATTTCGGAAAATGTTTCAGGTTTACAAGAATAAAGAGGATCAAATGAAATGCTTTCCTAATAGCAAGCATTTATAAAAAATATTATGTTTCATGCGCTTACGTCAATTCTAAAAAGTTACTTTACACCTTTAAGAAACATGCAGTTCTTGCGTTCCTTTTTAGCATATACTATTTCGTATCAGATTCGTGATTACTTCTAAGTTGTCTCTCATTTCAAGCATTTGGATCTCTTGACATCTTCATCGAATTTAATAGTTTTTTTTCCAGTTTACTAGAGTTTTAAGTGATAATCGGAAGACAAAAAGAAAAAATGGACTGTTATATTGTTCATAATATCGAAAATTGAATTTCATTATTTACATGAGTTAAGAGTGTTTATTTGTTCGTTACTGGAAACATAATTCATCCAATAGTTTAATCGGCATACACTATTTCGTATCAGATTCGTGATTAATGTCTTAAAACAGTCTTTTAATGTTTTAAAAAATTAGTCATTGGTTCAGGAATATTCGTGGATCTGTCTCGTTATATATATACATATTATAT